TTCAACTCCCAGAATTCCTGAGCGAACATGGCTCAGCTTGGAAACTTCTCCCTTTCCCCTCAGCATGGCTGGCTCAGGAATTCTGCGAGTTGAAGTCCACGAGTCTTAAAGCAGCCTAGGGCAGGGGTAGGCAACCTTGGCTCTTTTATGACTCATGGACTTCAATTCCCAGAATTTCTGAGCCAGCATGGCTCAGCTTGGAAGCCTCTCACTTTCCCCTCAGCATGGCTGGCTCAGGAATTCTGGGAGTTGAAGACCATGAGTCATAAAAGAGCCAAGGTTGCCTACTCCTGTCCTAAGTCCTCCTGTTCTAAGCAGTGAGCCTCCTAGGCCAGGGATAGGCAACCTTGGCTCTTTTATGACTCGTGGACTTCAACTCCCAGAATTCCTGAGCCAGCATGGCTCAGCTTGGAAACCTCTCCCTTTCCTCTCAGCGTGGCTGGCTCAGGAATTCTGGGAGTTGAAGTCCACGAGTCATAAAAGAGCCAAGGTTGCCTACCCCTGGTTTAGGGCTACCTGTGTTATTCCACTTTGGACTTCCTTCATGCGCTCCCACTGAAGTACCCCTAACTTCAATAGATTACACATCAAATGATAAGATACAGGATATGCTCTGCACAGAGTTTGTTAGTGTGGCTGTGGTTGTGGGGAGGGAGACACAAAGAGGCCGATTTATCAGCCTCCTGGAGGATCCACAACTAGAATTGAAGTGTCTTCCCTCCAAGTTCAGCTTCTGAAATGGAAATCCTGCTCCAGTAGGGGGGGGGGTGTCTCTGTGTGTGGACTAGAAGACCTCCGAAGTCCCTTCCGACTCTATTAATCTATTGTCAGAAGTAAGTCTTCATCCTGGTTCATCCAAGCGGGGAATAAATAAGCAACATGGCGACTGCTTTGGGAAGAAGGTTACAGTTTATTGAAGAAACAGAAAGATGGTCCTTGCAAGAAAGAGCAGAGGAGAGGAAAGAGCGATTGAGCACATGGGTAGTAGATTTTTATACCCTCTCTAGCCTTGTTTGGAATAGTTTCCTGTTCCTGTGGCATGAACCTTGAGGCTGTTTCTAAGTGTTTGTCTAGGCCTTGATATCTGTGGTTTAATCCTATTATCATATCCTGCTTCCCAGGTGATGGGGCTAATGACTCCTAGAGTTTGGGTGGGGCATGCAGATTTTTTCTTTGTCTTCTTGATTGCTGTGGCTTCTACTTTCTGATGGTTTTACATCTGCACTTGTATGGGGCTAGCTCTTGCTTGGGGCAGAGAGATAGATTTGGGGCCAGGTTTGGTTTTTTAAAAAAATCCTTTTGAGGAAAAATATATTTTTCTGCCTTTTTAATATTTCCTTCTCTGGGCTAACTTCCCTCACTATCTTCTATGTTCTAACTATGAGTTTTCCCAGGAGGAGAAAATAGTCACCACAGGAATGGTTGCAAATGAGTTCTAAACCTAATTAGAAAGAAGAAAAAAGGAGATGGAGACCTGATTTTCTAGTGGGAAGAAGCCATTCCAGAAGTGCATTTTTAGGGTGCAGTTTTTCTAAACCTTCCCCCAGCTCCCCCAATCCTAATCTTGGGGGAAATAGCTTCTCTTTATGGCAAATGGTTTTTTCCCCCTGCTTTTGGCTCAGCGGTTCCACTTTGAGGAGCGAAGTTAAGTCATTTCTTTTTCTCCTGCAGCCGTAAATCAAGCGGAGGAGTCTTGTTGTTTGCTGCAAATCCTCGCCTAATCTTTGGGTCACTCAGGAGCTGTCTCTCCCTTTTTTCTTTTCTTTCCACCCCTCCCCCTGGTGTTTTCACACACTCCCCTTTTTCTCTCCTCTTAAACTTGTCGCAGAGTTTCCAATGGGTGTCAGCAGAAGCCTGCAAAGAAAAGGAAAAATACACATTCCTCTCCAGAGGAACAAACCCATTGCCATATTGGTTAAGACCAGGGGCCACGTATTTTATTTTATTTTTTTTAAAAAAAGAGGGAAACAGAGAGATGCTTTTCTTGCAAAGGAACTTTCGAAAGGTATCATTAGAGGGCGACCCGAACAGAAGGGAAGGTTAATCTCTTGCAAAGCTCCCGCTACAAAAGTTAGAAGCTGGCAAAGGGCTTGTGTCCAAAAGAAATCAATTTCTAATTTGAAACAAAATCATTTTTGACTAACAGGAGTTCAGGATCCATTACTTTTGCTCTCTACTCGGTTGACATTTCAGCTCTGTCTGGAGCGCGCAGTGAATTCTAATAGTCGTCTCCTAACGTGGCTGCACCAATCAATTGAAGCCAGAGAAAGCCATTGCGCTGTGTGAGGTGTTCAGGGGCAAATGTTCATTGTGGACTTCTTTTTTTCTCTTTCACTTTCTTTTTAAAAACTCTTCTTCTTCTTCTTCTTCTTCTTCTTCTTCTTCTTCTTCTTCTTCTTCTTCTTCTTCTCTTTCTTCTTCTTCTTCTTCTTCTTCTTCTTCTTCTTCTTCTTCTTCTTCTTCTCCTCCTCCTCCTCCTCCTCCTCCTCCTCTTCTTCTCCTTCTCCTTCTCCTCCTCCTCTTAATACTACTACTACTACTACTACTACTACTAATAATAATAATAGGCTCTTTGGGTGCAATCCCAAAACAACTGGAACACCACTTGAATACCATTGGCATTGACAAATTCGCTGTTAGTCAATTGCAAAAGGGACATTACTAGGAGCTGCTTCCATCCTGCGACGATATCTGTAATACCATCAAACATCCACATCTTCCTATCCCAGGTCCTGGATAAGGACTCGATAGGTAGGCAAAATGCCAAATCCAGTCTGAACATCTGGCTGACTGTGTGATGATCAATAATAATAATAATAATAATAATAATAATAATAATAATAATAATAATAATAATAATAATAATGTGGCAGTGCCTGGAGATAGCAGAATAGAAAGAAAGAACTGGAGAAGATAGCAAAATACAAAGACCTACAAATAGAAGTAGAAAGACTGTGGCAAAAGCAAGCAAGGGTAGTACCAATAGTCATAGGCTCCTTGGTGCAATCCCAAAACAACTGGAGCACCACTTGAACACCATTGGCATTGACAAATTCGCTATTAGTCAATTGCAAAAGGCGGCCTTATAGGAACTGCTTCCATCCTGCGACGATATCTGTAATACCATCAAACATCCACATCTGCCTATCCCAGGTCCTGGGTAAGGACTCGATAGGTAGACAAAATGCCAAATCCAGTCTGAACATCTGGCTGACTGTGCGATGATCGATAATAATAATAATGATAATAGTAAAGTTGGAAGGGACCTTGGAGGTCATCGAGTCCAACCCCCCTGCTCAGGCAGGAAACCCTATACCATTTCGGACAAATGGCTGTCCAGTCTCTTCTTAAAAACCTCCAGTGTTGGAGCATTCACGGCTTCTGGAGGCAGGTTGTTCCACTGGTGAAGTGTTCTAACTGTCAGGAAGTTTCTCCTTAGTTCTAGGTTGCTTCTCTCCTCGATTAGTTTCCACCCATTGCTTCTTGTGCTGCCTTCAGGCGCTTTGGAAAATAGCTTGACTCCCTCTTCTTTGGGGCAGCCCCTGAGATATTGGAACACTGCTATCATGTCCCCCCTCGTCCTTCATTAGACTAGACATACCCAATTCCAGCAACCGTTCCTTATATGTTTTAGCTTCCAGTTCCCTGATCATCTTTGTTGCTCTTCTCTGTACTCTTTCTAGGGTCTCAACATCTTTTTTACATCGTGGTGACCAAAACTGGATGCAGTATTCCAAGTGTGGCCTTACCAAGGCATTGTAGAGTGGTATTAATACTTCATGTGATCTTGATTCTATCCTTCTGTTAATGCAGCTGTGTTGGCTTTTTTGGCAGCTGCAGCACACGGCTGGCTCATATTTAAGTGATTGTCCATTATGACTCCAAGGTCCCCCTCACAGTTATTACTATTGAGCAAGGTACACCCTATACTATACCTGTACATTTGGTTTTTCTTTCCTAAATGTAGAACCTTGCTTTTTTCACCACTGAATTTCATTTTGTTAGATAGCACCCAGTGTTCAAGTCTGTCCAGATCCTCCTGTATCCTAAGCCTGTCTTCTGGGGTGTTGGTTATTCCTGCCAGCTTGGCATCATCTGCAAATTTGATGAGTTCCCCATATATCCCCTCGTCCAGATCGTTGATGAAGATGTTGAAGAGCACTGGGCCCAGAACAGAGCCCTGGGGCACCCCACTACACACTTCCCTCCATGTAGATGCAGTTCCATTGAGGACCACTCTCCTCCTCCTCCTCCTCCTCCTCCTCCTCCTCCTCCTTCTGTTACTTAGTTTGGCAATGAAATGTCTGCAAGTAGCAATAAGAGAGGGTAGTAAATAAGAAGGATAATAGTAATAATGCTACAGCCATACTACATGGATAAATATACATAGACATTACACAATAATGTGAAAATTCGGCGTTCAGCAGAACGACAGCACAAACACGTTACAATTGTTCCATGTTCATTTTTGGAAACCTCCCAGTTCCTGTGCAAATGCACACTAGCATTGGGAATTTCCTTCTCCTGGTTCCAAAAACCCGAAATTTAGAGGCAGAGTTTTCAAGTGTTGGCCTGCTGCACCCTGGGGAATAGCAGCCTGTCACAGGCTAAAGCCACAATCGTGATGCCAAGTCTACTCCTGGTAGCAGAGATGCAATTAAGACTCTAGTTGACCCTCAGTGTGTGTGTGTGTGTGTGTGTGTGTGTGTGTGCCCGCCTTGCCTACCCTACAAGGTTCCATCCCAAAAAGGTGCCGGAACTCCGTTCTGGGCGTTCTATGACAAAAAAAAGTCCTGTATATATATATATATATATATATATATATATATATATATTCATTATATATATATATTCATCCCCTCTCCGTCACTAGGAAGTACTTAGGCTGCTGATTCACCATATCTAAAGCTCCCCGAAGAATAGCAGGCTGGGTGGGCCTGCTGTCGAAAATCAGACCAAGCAAGGAAAGACATCTGCAAATGTTTCTCCTCCTTCCACAGGGACGTCCGGGAAGGATTCTGCCACGTCTCCTGGAGTGACGTCCATCAAGAAGGAGCTTGTAACTGCAGCCACCTCCCCAATGCAGCAAGGAGCTTGGCGGTAAGAGGGCTTTTTTTAGACACCAACATCATTTTTATATTATTGAATTATTTATTTGTATCCCCCCCCCCTTTTGTTATTTTTACAAATAGTTCAAGGCAGTGAACATATCCAACGCACCTTCCTCCTGCTCTTTTCCCAACAACTGTCAGCCTGTGAGCTGAGAGAGAGGGCCTGATCTTAAGTAATTTAGCTGGATTTTATGTCTAAGATGGGACTAGAACTCACCTTCTGCTGCTGATTGGCTCAAAGTCACCTAACTGCCTTTCATGCTTAAGGCAGGACTAGAACTCACCTTCTGCTGATTGGCTCAAAGTCACCTAACTGCCTTTCATGCTTAAGGCAGGACTACAACTCACTTTCTCCTGCTGATTGGCTCAGAGTCACCTAACTGCCTTTCATGCTTAAGGCAGGACTAGAACTCACCTTCTGCTGCTGATTGGCTCAAAGTCATACAGCTGATTTTCATGCTTAAGGTAAAACTAGAACTCACTGTCTCCTGAGACTGGCCCTGAGTTATCCAGTCAACTATTACGCCTAAGGATGCACTAGAAGTCACAGTCTCCCGGTTTCTAGCTTGATGCCTTTACAACTAGACCAAGGGTAGGCAACCTTGGCTCTTTTATGACTCGTGGACTTCAACTCCCAGCATTCCTGAGCCAGCCACGCTGAGGGGAAAGGGAGAGGTTTCCAAGCTGAGCCATGCCGGCTCAGGAATTCTAGGAGTTGAAGTCCACGAGTCATAAAAGAGCCAAGGTTGCCTACCCCTGAACTAGACCAAATTAGTTCTCAGAATTGAGCATCTCTTATTCAATTAATAAGGTCCAGTACAACTTGCCAAGTCTGCCCGTTTGACACTATGTAGATCTGATGTAAAACAAGCCAAATCAGCCTTTCCCATTCGGGGTCCTTCCAATAACTAAGACTGGTTTTTCCATCGTTTAGCCTGTGGAAAAGACTAAACTAAATATCATAGGTGATCTTAAGGATGCTGGGTACAAAATAGTGATGAATGTAGAACGATGGCATCAGAAGGCTTTTAGCAGCCACTGGGGCAGTATTTGGAGATAAGCCCAGATTAATCCTGGATGGCCCTCGCTGGTCACCTGTGCTTGATGTGTCAGGCGCAAAGCATCAGGAATACATGTTTAGCGGCAGTTAATCTGATTTATTCCTCATGCCTAAACACAATCTAATCAACTAGCGGCTAGCACTAAATTGGTGCTAGGTAAGAGTCAATGGAATTCAAGAGGAGTTGGACTTGAACTACTTGTGGGAACGTAATGATTCCAGGCTGATTCGTCTCTTGACTCTGCCCCCCAAACTCTGCCTCATCTCCTACACCTCCCTCCCTCCCTCTCATTCCCACTTTCCTTCCTCCCTCTCTCCCTCCTTCTCATTCCCATCTCCTTCCTTCCCTCCCTCCTTATTCCCATCTCCTTTCCTCCCTCACTCCCTCCCTCCTTCCCATTCCCATCCTTCCTCCCTCCCTCCTTCTCATTCCATCTCCTTCCTTACTTCCTTCCCTCCCTCCCTTCCTCCTTATTCCCCATCTCCTTCCTTCCGTCCTTATTCCCATCTCCCTCTCTTCTCATTCCCATGTCCTCCCTCCCTTCCTTGCTTTCTTCCTTCCTTCCCTCCCTCCTTATTGCCATCTCCCTCCCTCCCTCCTTCTCATTCCCATCTCCTTTCTTCCCTCCCCCTCCCTCCTTATTCCCATCTCCCTCCCTCCTTCCCTCCTTCTCATTCCCACCTTCCTCCCTTCCTCCCTCCCTCCCTTGCGAAGAATCAGGACCACATGTTAAGCTCCAGTTGAGCAATTTTATTGTTCATGCTTAAACGGAACAATCGAGTCAGCACAATAACGGTCAGCACTAAACTGGCACTTGATAAGAAATGGAATTCAAGGAAGTTCGGACTTAACCCTGTTTGTGGGAATGCTAAGGGCTCAGGGCTGATTCCTCTCTTGACTCCACCTCCTGCAGATGACGTGCGGCTGCCTCTGAACTCAAACTGAACCTCTCCTTTCTTCCAGCGCCTTAAATTGCCTGCGACAATATTAATTTCATTGGATTTGTAATAAATGAGTAATGAAAAATATACTTCTGGAAATTAATTTCCCAGATAGCAAAGTAGTTGCGCTCCAAGACATTTCTTTTCGCTGTCTGCTAGGTTGGTGAAAGGCAGTCTGAACGACACTTTAAAAATTGCCTTTTTTTATTTCCCATTTGGCTTTTAAGAAACATTTGGGAATTTGAGAGTTGACACAGGTAGTCCTTGATTTATGACCTGTCACTTAGGAACCATTCGAAATTCTGACAGACCTATCTGGGAGTTACTTATGACCCCCCCGCCCACCCCCTGTGGTCAAGTGACTGCAACGGTGGTCCGCATTTACATCCTGTTTTCTGCAAAACTGTTCTGTCCCAGCCTATGTGAGTCCTTGTTATGCTCACAAGGAGAAACCCCTCTTCCAACAAGCAGGCAGGAACTGCAAGAAAAAACAATCCCCTTGTATTCTCACAGACCTGAGTCAATGTCCAAGGCAAACAAACACAGTCCACAGAAACTCGATCCTCAACACGGCAACCAGCACCTCCCACACCTTCCCTTTTATAATTTAGCCAAGGCGTGGCTTCCTAATGCTTTCTCCTTTGCCTTTGGAGCCGCCCCATTGCATTCCTCTGTCCTACTCGCTTCTCTTGCCTGCGCATTCGTGCATTCTGGATATCTCCCAGCTGTTCTTCATCACTGTCCAACTCAGACTTTCGGCACAGTTGTGTCTCAGCCTGAGCGCAGGTAGAGGGGCCAGGCTCCTTGTCCGACTGTAAGTCTTGGAGCTCCTCAGATCCTTCCTCTGACTCTGATGTCACTCCAGGCCCCTCCTCCTCCTTCTCTGATTCCTCAGACTCAGCTGCCGGGTCTACAGGCTGGCGAGGAATCACAACAAAAACAGCCACCACGAACCATTAGTTCACTTAACAACCCTGGCTGTTTGTTTAGTGACCATGGATTCGCTTAATAACTGCGGTGATTTTCACTTCACAGCTGCTGCCGGAAAAAGCCATAAGATTAGGTCGGTCACAGAACCGACCCGTTTTGCAACCGTCACGAGTGAGGGCAGTGGTGGGCAGGCTCCATTGTGGTCGTAAGTTGAGGCCTATCTGTATATCCAAACGGATCAGGAGAGAATTTGATCTCTGGGTCTTGGTTTGAGTTATAATAATAATAATAGTAAAGTTGGAAGGGACCTTGGAGGTCATCTAGTCCAACCCCCTGCTCGGGCAGGAAACCCTACACCATTTCGGACAAATGGCTGTCCAGTCTCTTCTTAAAACCTTCCAGTGTTGGAGCATTTACTGCTTCTGGAGGCAGGCTGTTCCACTGGTTAATTGTTCTCACTGTCAGGAAGTTTCTCCTTAGTTCTAGGTTGCTTCTCTCCTTGATTAGTTTCCACCCGTTGCTTCTTGTCCTGCCTTCAGGTGCTTTGGAGAATAGCTTGACTCCCTCTTCTTTATGGCAGCCCCTGAGATTATCTACATAATCGGCTGCAACCACCAGCATTGGGCATTTCTGCGATGTAGCTAGTCCTCAGCTGACAAGTACAATGAGGCCCAGATATCCTGTCATAGGTCCTGGTGGTTGTAAGTTGAGGCACCCGTGCGACTGGATGCGGCTGGATCTTTTTTTTGATATTTTTCACAGTAGTCGTTAAGCGAATCACACAGCCATTAAGCCAGGGATCTTCAAACCTAGTCCTTTTATGACTTGTGGACTTCAACTCCCAGAATTCCTCAGCTAGGCAAGTTGAGAATAGAATGGAATGGGATGGGATGGGACAGAACGGAACGGAACAGAACAGAACGGAAGAACACAGTTGGAAGGGACCTTGGAGGTCTTCTAGTCCAACCTCCTGCTCAGACAGGAAACCCTATACCATTTCAGACAAATGGTTGCCCAATCTCTTCTTAAAAACTTGTAGTTCTAGAATCTAGAGCATTCACGACTTCTGGAGACAGGTTGTTCCACTGATTAATTGTTCTATCAGGAAGTTTCTCCTTAGTTCTAGGTTACTTCCCTCTTTGATTAGTTTCCATCCGTCGCTTCTTGTCCTGCCTTCTGTTGCTTTGGGGAATAGCTTGACTCCCTCTTCTTTGGGGCAGTCCCTGAGATACTGGAACACTGCTATCATGTCCCCCCTCATCCTTCTCTTCATTAAACTAGACATACCCAATTCCAGCAACCGTTCCTTATATGTTTTAGCCTCCAGTCCCCGATCACCTTTGTTGCTCTTCTCTGCACTCTTTCCAGAGTCTCAACATCTTCTTTACATTGTGGTGACCAAAACTGGATGCAGTATTCCACATGTGGCCTTACCAAGGCCTTGTAAAGTGGTATTGGATCAGCTTCTTTTCTGTTTCACGGTGACCAGAATTGAATGCGGTGTTCCATGAATGGCTAAGGGAACTGGATCTGTCTCTAACCTAATGAAGAGAAGGATTAGGACAGACATGTCAAACTCACAATGTCAAGTGACATCGGACTACGTATCAGAGTTTTTTTGCCATTGCCAGTAATGGGGTGGGCATGGTTTTACGATGACGCGTCTGGCCTGCGGGCTGGCAGTTTGACACCCCTGGATTAGGAGAAAACATGATAGCGTCTTCCATCACTTGTCACAGCGAACAGGGGGTTGATTTATTCTCCATGGCACCTGAGGGCAGGACAAGAAGCCAGGGGTGGAAGCTCCTCCGAGGGTGATCCAACCTGGAAATCAGGAGGAATTTCCTGACAATGGGAACAATCAATCAATGGAACAAGTTACCTCCTGAAGCTCCATCATCGAAGATCTTCAAGAAAAGATGGGACAATTGTTTTTGTTAGGTATTGTTTCTGATTGTAATAGTAAAGAGATTATATTGATGTTAAATTTAATTACAGCGGCCAGGTTGCTAGTAGGGCAATGTTGGAAGAAGGAATCTTTGCCTACTTTGCAAGAG